GGGTCTGACAACTTGGATGGAAAATTACTGAGGATAATAGCGGACGATATTGCCACTTCTATTTGCCATATCTTTAATTTAAGCCTACTAGAAAGTGTATGCCCTCAGGGAAGCAAAAGTAATTCTGCTACCTAAGAATAGTAAAGCCCCCTTTACTGGCTCAAATAGCTGACCAATCAGCCTGTTACCAACCCTTAGTAAAGTTTAGGAAAAAATTGTGCTTGACCAGACACAATGCTATTTTACAGTAAACAAATTGACAACAGACTTTAACTATGCTTATAGGGAAGGACATTCAACAAGCACAGCAGTTACACAATGACTGATGATTGGCTGTGAGAAATTGATTATAAAAAATTGAGGGGGATGTTTTGTTAGACTTCAGTGCGGCTTTTGACATTGCCGATCATAGTCTGTTGCTGGAAAAACGTACAGTGGGGAAAAAAAGTATTTAGTCAGCCACCAATTGTGCAAGTTCTCCCACTTAAAAAGATGAGAGAGGCCTGTAATTTTCATCATAGGTACACGTCAACTATGACAGACAAAATGAGAAAATAAAATCCAGAATATCACAGTGTAGGATTTTTTATGAATTTATTTGCAAATTATGGTGGAAAAAAAGTATTTGGTCAATAACAAAAGTTTCTCAATACTTTGTTATATACCCTTTGTTGGCAATGACACAGGTCAAACGTTTTCTGTAAGTCTTCACAAGGTTTTCACACACTGTTGCTGGTATTTTGGCCCATTCCTCCATGCAGATCTCCTCTAGAGCAGTGATGTTTTGGGGCTGTCGCTGGGCAACACAGACTTTCAACTCCCTCCAAAGATTTTCTATGGGGTTGAGATCTGGAGACTGGCTAGGCCACTCCAGGACCTTGAAATGCTTCTTACGAAGCCAATCCTTCGTTGCCCGGGCGGTGTGTTTGGGATCATTGTCATGCTGAAAGACCCAGCCACGTTTCATCTTCAATGCCCTTGCTGATGGAAGGAGGTTTTCACTCAAAATCTCACGATACATGGCCCCATTCATTCTTTCCTTTACACGGATCAATTGTCCTGGTCCCTTTACAGAAAAACAGCCCCAAAGCATGATGTTTCAATCCCCATGCTTCACAGTAGGTATGGTGTTCTTTGGATGCAACTCAGCATTCTTTGTCCTCCAAACACAACGAGTTGAGTTTTTACCAAAAAGTTCTATTTTGGTTTCATCTGACCATATGACATTCTCCCAATCCTCTTCTGGATCATCCAAATGCACTCTAGCAAACTTCAGATGGGCCTGGACATGTTCTGGCTTAAGCAGGGGGACACGCCTGCACTTCAGGATTTGAGTCCCTGGCGGCGTAGTGTGTTACTGATGGTAGGCTTTGTTACTTTGGTCCCAGCTCTCTGCAGGTCATTCACTAGGTCCCCCCGTGTGGTTCTGGGATTTTTGCTTGTGATCATTTTGACCCCACGGGGTGAGATCTTGCATGGAGCCCCAGATCGAGGGAGATTATCAGTGGTCTTGTATGTCTTCCATTTCCTAATAATTGCTCCCACAGTTGATTTCTTCAAACCAAGCTGCTTACCTATTGCAGATTCAGTCTTCCCAGCCTGGTGCAGGTCTACAATTTTGTTTCTGGTGTCCTTTGACAGCTCTTTGGTCTTGGCCATAGTGGAGTTTGGAGTGTGACTGTTTGAGGTTGTGGACAGGTGTCTTTTATACTGATAACAAGTTCAAACAGGTGCCATTAATACAGGTAACGAGTGGAGGACAGAGGAGCCTCTTAAAGAAGAAGTTACAGGTCTGTGAGAGCCAGAAATCTTGCTTGTTTGTAGGTGACCAAATACTTATTTTCCACCATAATTTGCAAATAAATTCATTAAAAATCCTACAATGTGATTTTCAGAAAAAAAAAATCTCAATTTGTCTGTCATAGTTGACGTGTACCTATGATGAAAATTACAGGCCTCTCTCATATTTTTAAGTGGGAGAACTTGCACAATTGGTGGCTGACTAAATACTTTTTTCCCCCACTGTATGTGTTATGGCTTTACACCCCCTGCTATATTGTGGATGAAGAGTTACCTGTCTAACAGAACACAGAGGGTGTTCTTCAATGGAAGCCTCTCCAACATTCCCCAGGGCAGCTGTCTAGGCCCCTTACTTTTTTCAATCTTTACTAATGACATGCCACTGGCTTTGAGTAAAGCCAGTGTGTCTCTGTATGCGGATGACTCAACACTATACATGTCAGCTACTACAGTGAATGAAATGACTGCAACACTTAACAAAGAGCTGCAGTTAGTTTCAGAATGGGTGGCAAAGAATAAGTTAGTCCTTAATATTTCAAAAACTAAAAGCATTGTATTTGGTACAAATCATTCACTAAACCCTTAACCTCAACTAAATCTTGTAATAAAGAATGTGGAAATTGAGCAAGATGAGGTGACTAAACTGCTTGGAGTAACCCTGGATTGTAAACTGTCATGATCAAAACATATTGATACAACAGTAGCTAAGATGGGGAGAAGTATTTCCATAATAAAGCGCTGCTCTACCTTCTTAACAGCACTATCAATGTGGTAGTGGAGTAGGGGCCTGAGGACACACATTTAGTGTGTTGTGAAATCTGTTATGAATGTATTGTAATGTTTTTAAAATTGTATAACTGCCTTAATTTTGCCTGACCCATTGCCTTGGCAGCAGCTAATGGGATCCATAATAATTACAAATACAAATACAAAATCAGGACATGCAGCCATCTTGAGTGTCCCCATAAGTTTAACAGTCAAATTGACAGTGTTAGAGTTTCCAACACCCTTCTATGGATTATATTTCTATGGCCGCAATGCAACAAGCTTCCCAAATCGCGGCTTTCCCGACTATGCAAGACAGGAGTAATTATATAACTTTGCCAAATTTATTTCAATTTATCAGAGGGTGCTGTGGCACCTTCAGCACCCCTACTTCCTGTGGCTATGGTTGTACCTCTGCACAACACCATTCACTGTTTTCACTGCAATAGAAAACACAGAACAAAACAAAAATTTTTAGTGTGTACTTTTCTATCTGATAAGGGGAAAACAACTACCTTATTTTATTGTAGGATGTGATCAATGTGATCATTTCCAAATTGTAAGGTAGTACAATTGGGTAGTTTGTGTAAACGTTTTAGTTTTACAAAACATGTAACTTATTTCTTCTCCGCTCACCCTCAGAGCAGTCTCTTCACTTCTGTAGCTCAGCTGGTAGAGCACGGCGCTTGTAACGCCAAGGTAGTGGGTTCGATCCCCGGGACCACCCATACACAAAAATGTATGCACGCATGACTGTAAGTCGCTTTGGATAAAAGCGTCTGCTAAATGGCATATTTATTTATTTTTTATTTTTCTTCTGCTTTGGTAGATTTTCCTCCTCAGAGACAGAGGAAGATGATGAGGACGAGTGCCCTGGTTGATTCAACCTCGCTGCTGGAGTCCCTGACTGATTTGAGCACGTAGCCTCCTGCTGGTCAGACCCTACACAGAGTAACAATAACATTTGTGAACTATTTAACCCTAACCCCATCTCAAAACAGGCATAATAACTATGTAAAAGCAGTAACATAGCTTTTGAAATCATGACACTCATAACAATCCAGTCCACCTTTAGATCTTAGGACAGACTAATTCTCAATTGTTATTTCAATGTTAAAGTTAATTCACCTCTTGATGCACCTCTTAGGGAAGCCAGCTGGCTTTCGAGGAAGACCTTCAAGCTGGTTATGGTGTCCAGCAGCACATTGTTCTTGTCTTTTTCTGCCTGTAGCTCAGCTCTCAGCTTTAGGACTTCAAGGGCCTTTGGGTCAGCTGTGATACACATTTTAAGTCAGAACTCCCGCCCACCAGACTGCTTCCCTCTCTCAAATAAAATGGAAGTGAGGCTATTATAGGCTCCCCATGCATTGTATAATCACAACTTGTCTAGTGGGATATTTTAATGACCATCCCCCACTTAAAAAAGGTGTTTGAATGAAAACGGCAAAATCCCATGTTTTGCCTACATTTTGGCACACTAGCATCAATATAGACAGATTCTAAAATGTGCAATCAAAATAGTAAATATAAGATCCTTTCAAATTATGCTCATGTTTAAATTGCTCACTGCCGACAGACAACTTCTTCCAGGTTGGATCACAACTTCCAAGTCATTTCCCTCCATCATATTGACCATGCTGTGTACTACAGCAACTATAACGTACCAAATTACCATAGGCTAATAGGCAATGTAATTACTAATATTCTTTATATTCACTGCAGCAAACCAAAAAAAAAGACAATTCATTAAATGAGACATCAAGCTCTTGCTAAAAAAATAATTAACCTAGCTAAATTTTTCGGCCATCATAGTTTCATCTTTAAATCATTAATGAAATTAGTTCCCATCAGAGCCATCATGTATTGACAGAGTTGGGACATTGTGGTTTCTGCATTATGATCCATTTACATGACACCACAAATATATGGCTCTGATTCTCATTATCTGGCTTAACCCCTTCTATTACTCATTCAACTGAAAATAAAGTTATTTGATTTTGAACATATAGGCTTCAATTCATTCTATAGCAATTTACTGAAGACTTACCACTAGTGCTAGCAACAGGCTTGTCAACTTTTAGGCATTTCCTGCCACCTCTGGTGTCTATCATGTCTGAAAATAGGAAAAATTACATTACATTATTACTCTGTTGTTAATAGAAAAAGAATTATGAACTAGCCTAAATGTAATTCATTCTGGTAGCTGTTACTTACCTTGCTTGTTGGTAAGTTGGTAATGTATTGTTAGTTTGTAATGTCAAAGATGATCTATATACCTCTCAGGTAATGTCTAATTTGTCTCATTTTGTCTGGATTCTATAATTAAAGACGGTTTGTATTGGGGCCAAATGTTTTGACTTTAGACTTTTATCCGATCATTGGGCTCTTCCTCCCTCTCCCCCCTCTCTCTCCCCCCTCTCTCTCCCTCCCTCACCGATGTCTCCCTCTGTCTCTGTCTGTCCCTCTGTCTCTGTCTCTGGGCTGTGTGGAACACCTAGGCTGCTGCTGCTGGGCTGGGAGAATGGAGAGGTTCTGGACCCGGCTGTATTGGCCCTCCGTAGGCCCCCCTCGGTCCCTACTTGGCTCGTCTTAGATGGGGACGTCTTCACTGGAGGGGGAGAGGGAGATTAGATTAGAAGTCGTTTATTATCTCAAGCTTGGGAAATTTATTTGGCATGTTAAGCTTCACAACATCATTAAAACACAAACTATCATAATGTAACGTCAAATATGTAATAAATATAAATAAGAAGTGAGGGGTGAGATTACTTCTACTCTGGCTGCTTTCCTGTTCTCTTCCCTTTTTCTGAAGTGTGCACTCATTCACTCCCCCTCATGTATTTAAAAGCATTGGATTGGTGCAAGCATGGCTGGAAGGAGTTTCCCACCATATTCTTCACATCAGTCCATTCCTTTCAAATACATGAGGGGGAGTGCACACTTTAGAAGGGAAGAAAATCGAAATACAGCCATAGCGTAAAACGAGAGGTTTCATAGAGTAACACTCAAGCACTTACATGGAATATTTTTAAAGACCGTATTGCAGATGAACCGCTGAAAGCGGTCTGAGTAGAAGCTTGGTCTGTGTACTGACACTGTATCCTGGGAGAAAAGAGAGGGTTTCAAGTCACACTAATATACAGTAGTGTATACACTTACAGTATGTAGAATAATACTAATATCAAATCAAATGTTATTGGTCACATACACATATTTAGCAGATGTTATTGCGGGTGTAGTGAAATGCTTGTGTTAATATTCATAAAGAGGTCACCACAGAGGCATCAGGATAGCCTGTCTGTTGTCTTACCCCGTCGTGGACCAGAGCTTTCCATGAGTGTTCAATCTTCTTCACAAATCTGAGCAAAAACACAGGACATGGGTTACTACGGACCTAATGTATTCACAGTTTCATATAGCATAGCCCATCATGTCACGATCGTTTAAAGATTGGTCGAACCAAGGCGCAGCGTGATAAGTGTACATTTTATTAAGTACTTTACTCACGACAAAACAACAAACAAACGAAACGTGAAGTCCTAGGTTACACAAAACAAACCTTAACGGAACAAGATCCCACAAACTAACTGGTGCCAACAGGCTGCCTAAGTATGGTCCCCAATCAGAGACAACGAGCTACAGCTGCCTCTTATTGGGAACCACTCTGGCCAACATAGATCTAAACGATCTAGAACAAAAAACATAGAAAACTAAACATAGAAAAATCCACACCCTGGCTCAACATTTAAGAGTCCCCAGAGCCAGGGCGTGACACATCAGACAGACACAAACACAGACAAAACTACCAATAGACCTCCATGTACAGTCAGAGCAGTGGTTACCTGTAGGACTGCAGAATGTCGATTATGCCGATATACACTAGCATCCTCTCCCCCTTGGAGTTGCATGCTGGGATACCCCCCATGCTGCAAAAACATACAGGGTCAACCTCGGATCATATTATGGACCAACACATATTTTCCTCAACTGGACAGGTCAGCTTTCAAATCCTATTACACTAAATACTCAAACAACTGAACCGACTAGCTGAACTGAGATGTGTGCGGACTGTAAAGTGGATACTCACTGGTCCTCAGTGTCCAGGGCTCCCTTGCTGTGCACCTCTCCCTGGATGGCCTCTATGGTGGCGCAGTAGAGGGACTTCTGGATCTGCAGACGGGGCCTCCTCTGGTCTGCAGCCCCTCCTGCCTTCTCTCCAGCCTGCTCCCGAGCTGCCCGCTCCAGGTTGTGGATCCCCACCAGCAGGCTGTAGTCCATGATCTCAAAGCTCTGCAGCAGCTACAGGAGGAGAAGAGGAACAAAATGCAGGGGTCAGAGACACAGCGAAGTGGGATGGAGGAGTACACCAGGGAAAATGAGTGACATACAGTAGGCTTGGTAAAGCATGTACAGGCTGTAGTCCATGATCTTAAAGCACTGCAGAAGTTACAGTACATTCAGAAAGTATTCATACCCCTTGACTTTTTCCACATTTTGTTGTGTTGCAGCCTGAATTTAAAATGGATTAAATTGAGATTTTTCTTTTATCACTGGCCTACACACAATACCCCATAATGTCAAAGTGGAATTATGTTTTTCAATTATTATTTTTTTTACAAATGAATAAAAAATGAAAAGCTGAAATGTCTTGAGTAAATAAGTATTCAACCCCTATGTTATGGCAAGCCTAAATATGTTCAGGAATAAGCATTTGCTCTCAGTTGCCAGAGAGGAAGGAAACCACTTAGGGACTTCGGCATGAACCAATTTTACAGAGCTTGAAGAATTTTGAAAATAATAATGGGCAAATGTTGCATAATCCAGGTGTGGGAAGCTCTTAGAGACCCAGAAAGACTCACAGCTGTAATCGCTGCCAAAGGTGCTTCTACAAAGAATTGACTCAGGGGTGTGAATACTTATGTAAATGAGATATTTCTGCAAATATTTGTAAAAACCTGTTTTCACTTTGTCATTTTGGGGTATTGTGTGTAGATGGGTGAGAAAAAAATATATTGAATCCATTTTGAATTCAGGCTGTAACATAACACACTGTGGAATAAGTAATGGGGTATGAATACTTCCTGAAGGCTCTGTATATGGGACAAAGAGATAAAGGAGTCAGGGCTCAAGAGACAAACAGTGAGTACCAATTTAGGATCAGGTTAGCCTTTACGATTATAAGGAATAAGACAGGGGAGAACGACTGCCCACTCTCATTTGAGCCACAAAGTTCAAGCCTGACCACGGTACTGCAGTCATTGTTTTCAGAAAACAGGATCCCCATTATAGTGAATGGGAAAATGGCAATCTTCGTGTATAAAAAAACAAAAATCTAAGACAATCATGGTACCAATAATTGCTTCTATTACACCAGATGTATATCCTTGAACCAATTATTTTTAAATCGCACACAGGATAACAAGAATAATTTCATTGCTAATGGCAGCCTGCAGTACCCCGGTCGGCCTTCAACTTGAGATACTAAATGAAAGCTAGCACTGAGCTAGCCTGCAACGTCACTTCCTGGACTAGCTCAAATTGCCCATGTTGTGTCTCCATGAGACACCATCTTAACCGACTTCCTTGGCTTCAAATGCGCTATTGAGTCTTCACATAGGAATGAATTATGTTATGTGATCGATGGTTTTGTCCATTCATTTACAGTCATGGGAATACGATTATATGGACAGTTGGACCTGATTCTAGATCTGCACTCCTACTCTGAGAAGTTTGCTACATACGGCCCCTGGACTCAGAGACAAACAGACAAGTGGTGATGGAGTATCTCAGGGAAGATGAGAGAAATGCAGTAGGGTTAGTATAGCATGCACCAACAGTAGGTGACCAAGTTCAAGTCAACTACAAAATGATACGTGATGGAAATATGTTAGCACAATCATTAAAGTAACTGTCCAGTGAAAATCTCACTTTTAAAAGTGCATATTCTGTGAACTCATACCCAAATAATGTTGTTGACTCGTCCTATACTCATAAAAAAACACTTTAAAAAACCCACCTTTAACTTGTATCTCAAACAGACCGTTTCAAAAACACTTGCTATTTCCTCATAGAACATCATGTCATGTTGGCTCATTGGTTGAGCTGGCCAATCAGCGGTCTACTTGCGTGAATATTGTTAATGACCAGTATACGCCCACACCATTCTGCAGTTGGGGTACGCCCACACCATTCAAAAAAAGAAAAGCAGCTTTTTAACATACTTATTTACCATTTTCTGGAAGGAAAACTATTTCACTAATATTGTAATTTATAGGTCATTTTTCATAGAAATCTGGAAACACTGGACAGTTACATAAAAAATGTATGACACTTCTCAGCGTCATTTCCATCCCACTAAAATAACCCTATAGACCCTGTTCAAAAGTAGTGCACTATATAGGGAATTGGTGCCATTTGGGATGCAGTCGCTTTCCCTCACCAGGCAGTCTCTCTTGATGGTCTCGCTGAGGGCGTTGTAGTTGTCTGCCTCCAGCAGCAGTCCATCAGGCAGGTCCTGGATGAAGTCCAGGTCTTTGAAGGTGGGCACGGCCTTGTCCCGCTCCTTAGCTGAGGCCCGTCTCTTATAGGTGGAGCCCTTCAGGTCGTACTTGAGGTGCATGCGCACGGTGTGCGGAAGCAGGTTGTTCATGACAACGATGCAGATGTTCTTGCCCCCCGCCTGGATGCAGTACAGACCGTAGAACTTAGGCAGCAATGTTCTCTTGTTCTGGTGTAGGTTCTAGAGAGGAGGATAGGGGAAAGGAGAGTGAGTGTAAGTATATCAATCAAATCCACGTTATTACTGGTATATTAGTGTAGAACAAAACATAGAGAATAAACCAGGAAGACATTGAAGCCAAAGCTTGAATTGAGTAACGAGATTAACTTGGTACTGTAACTCAAAGCACAAAACATAAGGTACACATTGGATCAAAAACGAGCCCACAAACTCCATCTCTTACCATGAAGTAGCCAGGCAGTAGTTGTTGTAAGAACTTAGCCTCTTTGTGCTGCACAGTCTTAATGAGGAACTGATCATCGCTGGAGACATAGAACTGAGATCCACTGGCTCCAGAGTTGGACAGCTCAATCAGATCCTCATTACCCAGAGAGTACTGCAAACAAAACAGTGATTAATTACACGTTAGTTAAATAGACAATTCCACCTCCTGTATTCACATTCCCATCAATTAATTCCCCATTGATATCATTCATACTCCACTGTTGCTTTACTGTCCTACTTTCGGTGTGTGCATTCCAAATGGTAACCTAGTCCCTATTTAGTCCAATACTTTTGACCAGATCTCATATCAAAAGAAGCGCACTATATAGGGAATAGGGTGCAATTTGGGACGCAGCCTCAATTATTTTCTCTCCTCATTTGGCTTCAAGTAACAGACAGAGGACAGCAAGGTGGGTTGAGAGTGTGTAGTACCAGGTAATCTTCGGCCCGGATGCCAAACATCTCCCTGAGGTAGCGAAAGCCGAGGGGAGCGTAAGCATTGAACCTGAAGTCACCATAGTGGTGGGCTGGGGTCAGGTTACTGCCCTTACTGAAGAAGAATAGTGCAGTGGGATTAATAGGAGACAGACAGACAGACATGCAGGAGAGAACATGAATTTACTTGTTTATTTCACACATTCTACTAGGCTTGGTCGGTATACCGTGTATACCGTATACCGGGGTATTAGAAAAAAGCTACGGGATGATTTTTCAATACCGTCAATACTATTTCTTTGACGTTGATATATTTGTAGCTACTTTTAAGTTAATACCTGCAGTCAACTTGTGCAATATGTTAGGAGATTAAGCAGATTGCGTTCTTCATTTCACCCATGACATTATTTTACATTATATATAGAGTGAGGGAAAAAAGTATTTGATCCCCTGCTGATTTTGTACGTTTGCCCACTGACAAAGACATGATCAGTCTATAATTTTAATTGTAGGTTTATTTGAACAGTGAGAGATAGAATAACAACAACAAAATCCAGAAAAATGCATGTCAAAAATGTTATAAATTGATTTGCATTTTAATGAGGGAAATAAGTACTTGGTGGCAAAACCCTTGTTGGCAATCACAGAGGTCAGAGGTTTCTTGTAGTTGGCCACCAGGTTTGCACACATCTCAGGAGGGATATTGTTCCACTCCTCTTTGCAGATCTTCTCCAAGTCATTAAGGTTTCGAGGCTGACATTTGGCAACTCAAACCTTCAGCTCCCTCCACAGATTTTCTATGGGATTAAGGTCTGGAGACTGGCTAGGCCACTCCAGGACCTTAATGTGCTTCTTCTTGAGCCACTCCTTTGTTGCCTTGGCCGTGTGTTTGGGGTCATTGTCATGCTGGAATAACCATCCACGACCCATTTTCAATGCCCTGGCTGAGGGAAGGTTCTCACCCAAGATTTGACGGTACATGGCCCCATCCATCGTCCCTTTGATGCGGTGAAGTTGTCCTGTCCCCTTAGCAGAAAAACACCCCCAAAGCATAATGCTTCCACCTCCATGTTTGACGGTGGGGATGGTGTTCTTGGGGTCATAGGCAGCATTCCTCCTCCTCCAAACACGGCGAGTTGAGTTGATGCCAAAGAGCTCCATTTTGGTCTCATCTGACCACAACACTTTCACCCAGTTCTCCTCTGAATCATTCAGATGTTCATTGGCAAACTTCAGACGGGCCTGTATATGTGCTTTCTTGAGCAGGGGGACCTTGCAGGCGCTGCAGGATTTCAGTCCTTCACGGCGTAGTGTGTTACCAATTGTTTTCTTGGTGACTATGGTACCAGCTGCCTTGAGATCATTGACAAGATCCTCCCGTGTAGTTCTGGGCTGATTCTTCACCATTCTCATGATCATTGCAACTCCACGAGGTGTGATCTTGCATGGAGCCCCAGGCCGAGGGAGATTGACAGTTATTTTGTGTTTCTTCCATTTGCGAATAATCGCACCAACTGTTGTCACCTTCTCACCAAGCTGCTTGCCGATGGTCTTGTAGCCCATTCCAGCCTTGTGTAGGTCTACAATCTTGTCCCTGACATCCTTGGAGAGCTCTTTGGTTTTGGCCACGGTGGAGAGTTTGGAATCTGATTGATTGATTGCTTTGTGGACAGGTGTCTTTTATACAGGTAACAAGCTGAGAATAGGAGCACTCCCTTTAAGAGTGTGCTCCTAATCTCAGCTCGTTACCTGTATAAAAGACACCTGGGAGCCAGAAATCTTTCTGATTGAGAGGGGGTCAAATACTTATTTCCCTCATTAAAATGCAAATCAATTTATAACATTTTTGACATGCTGTCACGCCCTGACTCTAGGGACTTGTATTTGTTGAGTCAGGGTGTGTATTTTCTGTGTTGGGTGTGTTTGTTAGTTTCTAGATCGTTTAGATCTATGTTGGCCAGGGTGGTTCCCAATCAGAGGCAGCTGTAGCTCGTTGTCTCTGATTGGGGACCATACTTAGGTAGCCTGTTGGCACTAGTGGGGTGTGGGATCTTGTTCCGTGTGAGGTATGTTATTTGTCTACCTTGGACTTCACGTTTCGTTTGTTGTTTTGTCGTGTGTTCAGTACGTAAATAAATATGAATGCATATCACGCTGCGCCTTGGTCCTTCTCGTCCGTAAACGATCGTGACAGAAGATCCCACCAATCCTGGATCAAGCAGCGTGACGAGGAGAGAGGATGGACTTGGGAGGAGATGAGCGAGAGTCTGGCAAGAGGGATCGAGGCCATGATCACGGGGGAGAGACAAGCCCAAAAAATGTTTAGGGGGGGGGCTCACGCCGTGGACGACGAGGCAGCAGGAGGCCGCGATAGAGCAGTTCAGCCGTTTAGCAGAGGAGGCCGCCAGATTAAGGGGGTCATTGGTTCAGAGGGAACAGAAGGAAAGAGGCACGGCGAGAGGAGCTGGTTAGGCAGCAGAAGGAGCAGGGGGTTAATGAAGGAACCCAGTCCCGCTCCTCGCACCAATCAAGTGGTGCGTGTCGCCAGTCCGGTCCGGCCCGTTCCTGATTCCCGCACTAAGCCAATGGTGGGTGTTCCCAGTATGGTTCGGCCCGTTCCTGCTCCTCGCATCAAGCCAGTGGTGCGCATCGCCAGCCCGGTCCGGCCTGTTCCTGTCCCTCTCACCAAGTCAGTGGTGCGCGTCGCCAGCCCGGTCCGACCTGTTCCTGTCCCTCGCACCAAGTCAGTGGTGCGCGTCGCCAGTCCGGTCCGGCCCGTTCCTGCTCCCCGCACCAAGCCAGTGGTGCACGTCGTCAGCCCAGTCCGGCCCGTTCCTGCTCCCCGCACCAAGCCAGTGGTGCGCGTCGTCAGCCCAGTCCGTCCCGTTCCTGCTCCCCGCACCAGGCCAGTGGTGCGCGTCGTCAGCCCAGTCCGGCCCGTTCCTGCTCCCCGCACCAGGCCAGTGGTGCGCGTCGTCAGCCCAGTCCGGCCCGTTCCTGCTCCCCGCACCAAGCCAGGGGTGCGCGTCATCAGCCAGGTCTGGCCCGTTCCTGCTCCCCGCACCAAGCCAGTGGTGCGTGTGTCCAGTCCGGCACGGCCCGTGCCTGTTCCACCGGTGCCTGGTCCGGCACCGGTCAGCTGCTCCACTCCGGAGCCAGAGCAATCCGCTCCACCGGGGTCCAGTCCAGCCCCGGTCAGCGGCTCCACTCCGGAGCCAGAGCAGTCCGCTCCACCGGTGCCTGATCCAGCTCCGGTCAGCAGCTCCACCCCGGAGCCAGAGCAGTTCGATCCACCGTCGTCGGGTCCAGCTCCAGTCAGCGCGCCGAGGTCCAGACCAGACCAGGGGCGCAACGGGGAGGTGGAGAGTAAGTGGTGGTCACACCCGGAGCCGGATCCGCCTCCGAGGTGGAATGCCCACCCGGCCCCTACCCTGTTAGGTTTATGTGGCGCGGTCGGAGTCCGCACCTTTGGGGGGGGGGGGGGGGTACTGTCACGCCCTGACTCTAGGGACTTGTATTTGTTGAGTCAGGGTGTGTATTTTCTGTGTTGGGTGTCTATGTTAGTTTGTAGATCGTTTAGATCTATGTTGGCCAGGGTGGTTCCCAATCAGAGGCAGCTGTAGCTCGTTGTCTCTGATTGGGGACCATACTTAGGTAGCCTGTTGGCACTAGTGGGGTGTGGGATCTTGTTCCGTGTGAGGTATGTTATTTGTCTACCTTGGACTTCACGTTTCGTTTGTTGTTTTGTCGTGTGTTCAGTACGTAAATAAATATGAATGCATGTCACGCTGCGCCTTGGTCCTTCTCGTCCGTAAACGATCGTGACACATGCGTTTTTCTGGATTTTTTTGTTGTTATTCTGTCTCTCACTGTTCAAATACACCTACCATAAAAATTATAGACTGATCATTTCTTTGTCAGTGGGCAAACATACAAAATCAGCAGGGGATCAAATACTTTTTTCCCTCACTGTATTACCGTAATTCCCCAGAACAGTTGAGCCAGTCACTAGTTTGTTTGTAAATAGCACAATGGGAGAAAGCGAGCTGGTGAGTCCATAGTGTTCTATATCTATCGGCGAGTCTCTGTTGTGCAGAACACATTATGCAATTCACTACTAAATATTTGATATAAGATTTCTTATAATGGCTTTCTGCCAGAAGTCAAAGAGCTCTGGATGAGGTATCTGTACAGCTGCCATTTTCTCCCTGTGCTTCCTAGTAGCGTTTTTTTTCCTCCTCCGTTCTTCTCTTATCTGCTCCATGTACACATGCTGCTCTTCCTTCAGAAAACCATGCATCACAACTTTGATTATTTGCACAATTTCTCTTATTCACTTTCGCTTGTAAATGTCCACGCTCGCCGAAAATGATATTCGGTAGCTACTAGCTATGCTTGTATAACTTTATGTACTGGATTTGCCTGTCTTTGCAATTAGTTTATGTTCAATTTCAGTCGTTAGCATTTAGCTACAGTAACAGCGTCTATGTGATTTCGCTATTAGTTTGTGCACATTTTGTTAACATTCTGGTAATAGAGGACCAACGGGCTTTCCTTGCGTTTTTTAGCGGCCCCTTATGCCGGTAATACCGTAAATCCCGGAACGAGAGAAGGACGGTATGACGATATGAAAAACTGGATACCGCCCAAGCCTACAAGCTACACTTGTTCAGAATGCAATATTGACATTAAAACATAATAGAAACCCCTACATGTTTGCTTCTGATAATATATCCTACTCCCTCTATACCTCCCTCTCCATCAACCAACCACACACACCTGGGGAAGGAGCTGCTCTCCACATCTTCAAAGTCCTTGAAGAGTACATCTCTCTTTTGCCTCTGGCACAGGCTGCCCAATGTGTGGATGATGCCCAACTGGATGACACCTTTCAGGGCAGAAGAGGTGGTCTGGAGGAGGGCAAAGCAGAGAAAGAGAGAATAAGTTTACAGACATTTTCGTTATGTGGTTTTTCAGAAGACTAGTCACTTGATGTTAATGTTAATATCATCTTAAGACCAGAGTATCAGAATGGATAGACTTACAGAGACAGGAACACACAAGGGTCCAGACCAAGGGAATAAAGCCAGACAGGGCCGCTGCCGAACCTCCTCATCCACATACTAAGGAACAAGACAGGATCAATTTAAGAGTCAGTTTGAATGATACACTGGTATAGAAGTGACAGACTGGTATAGGGAGGATCGCAAGAGGAGGCCACTGCAATGATAGTGTTATTGAACCAATCCTGATAATGAAGCAGTATTGTTATAGCCTGGGTGCCAGTAAAATCAAATCAAATCCAAATCAAATTGTATTGGTCACATACACATGTTTAGCAGATGTTATTGAGGGTGTAGCGAAATGCTTGTGCTTCTATCTCCGAAAGTGCAGTAATATCTAACAAGTAATATCTTACAATTTCACAACATATACCCAATACACACAAATCTAAGTAAGGAATTAAGAATAAATACATATATGGACGAGCAATGTCAGAGAGGCATGGACTAAGATACAGTAGAATAGTATAGAATACAGTATATACATATTAGATGAGTAATGCAAGATATGTAAACATGATTAAAGTGACTAAGATACCATAGAATAGTATAGAATACAGTATATACATATGAGATGAGTAATGCAAGATACGTAAACATTATTAAAGTGGCTAGTGTTTCATTTCTTAAAGTGGCCAGTGATTTCTACTCTATGTCTATAGGCAGCAGCCTCTATTATGCAGTCTGTTTCAGCTCTCTGACAACTCCTTATGCGATTGTCATGCCAATATCATTTTCCCACGAGGGAATTGGCAAGAGAGCAGAAACAGACTGGCACCCAGGCTATTGATAATGATGTATTATTCTTACCAGAGATAGAGGACATGTTAATGTGTACTATCTATACAACACATCTCCTCCAACAATTTTGCGCCGATTTACTTCATTTTCGGCTCAAAAGAAGCGTGATGTCCTCTTACATGCCACTGGCAATTTTATATTCTGCTGTGTTTTGTATTTTCGTTTATATTCCTGTTTTATGTGTTTGGAATGACACGGTTACTACAGGAGATTTACTTGGCTCATCGCGCTCTAGCGACTCCTTGTGGCGGGCCGGGCGCCTGCAGGCTGACTTCGGTTGTAAGTTGAACAGTGTTTCCTCCGACACATTGGTGCGGCTGACTTCCGTGTTAAGGAGCACAGTTTGGCGGGTCATGTTTCAGACTACGCATGACTCGAACTTCGCCTCTCCCGAGCCCGTTGCAGCAATGAGACAAGATTGTAATTGGATCGCAATTGGATAACATGAAAAAAGGGGTAAAATAAAAAATATACAGCGCCTTCGGAAGGTTTTCAGACACCTTGACTTTTTCCACATTTTGTTAGGTTACAGCCTTATTCTAAAATTGATTAAATTGTTTTTCCCCTCATCAATCTACACACAATACCCCATAATGACAAAGCAAAAACAGGTTTTTAGACATTTCTGCTAATTTATTTAAAAACATTTAACTGAAATACCACATTTACATAAGTATTCAGACCCGTAACTCAGTACTTTGTTGAAGCACCTTTGGCAGCGATTACAGCCTCGAATCTTCTTGGGTATGACGCTACAAGCTTGGCACACCTGTATTTGGAGAGTATTTCCCATTCTTCTCTGCAGATCCTCTCAAGCTCTGTCAGGTTGGATGGGGAGCGTTGTGGCACAGCTATTTTCAGGTCTCTCTAGCGATGTTCGATCAGGTTCAAGTCCGGGCTCTGGCTGGGCCAATCAAGGACATTCAGAGACTTGTCCCGAAGCCACTCCTGCGTTGTCTTGGCTGTGTGCTTAGGGTCATTGTCCTGTTGGAAGGTGAACCTTGGCCCCAGTCTGAGGTCCTGAGCGCTCTGGAGCATGTTTTCATTAAGGATCTCTCTGTACTTTGCTCAATTCATCTTTGCCTCGATCCTGACTAGTCTACCAGTCCCTGTCGCTGAAAAACATCCCCACAGCATGATACTGCCACCACCATGCTTCACTATAGGGATGGTGCCAGGTTTCCTCCAGACGTGATGCTTGGCATTCAGGCCAAAAAGTTCAAGCCTGGTTTCATCAGAGCAGAGAATCGTGTTTCTCATGGTCTGAGAGTCTTTAAGTGCCTTTTGGCAAACTGCAAGCGTGCTGTCATGTGCCTTTTACTGAGGAGTGGCTTCCGTCTGGCCACTCTACAATAAAGGCCTGATTGGTGGAGTGCTGCAGAGATGGTTGTCCTTCTGGAAGGTTCTCCCATCTCCACAGAGGAACTCTAGAGCTCTGTCAGAGTGACCATCGGGTTTGTAAACACCTCCCTGACCAAGGCCCTTCTCCCCCAATTGCTCAGTTTGGCCGGGCGGCCAGTTCTAGGAAGAGTCTGGGTGGTTCCAAACTTCTTCCATTTAACAATAATGGAGGCCACTGTGTTCTTGGGGACCTTCAATGCTGCAGAAATGTTTTGGTACCCTTCCCCAGATCTGTACCTAGACACAATCCTGTCGCTGAGCTCTACGAACAATTCCTTCGACCTCATAGCTTGGTTTTTGCTCTGACATGCACTGTCAACTGTAGTACCTTATATAGGCAGGTGTGTGCCTTTCCAAATCATGTCCAATCAATTGAATTTACCACAGGTGGACTCCAATCAAGTTGTAAAAACATCTCAAGGATGATCAATGGAAACAGGATGCACCTGAGGTCAATTTCGAGTCTCATAGCAAAGGGTCTGAATACTTACAGTGAGGGGGAAAAAGTATTTGATCCCCTGCTGATTTTGTACGTTTGCCCACTGACAAAGACATGATCAGTCTATAATTTTAATGGTAGGTTTGAACAGTGAGAGGCAGAATAACAACAACAAAATCAAGAAAAATGCATGTCAAAAATGTTATAAATTGATTTGCATTTTAATGAGGGAAATAAATATTTGACCCCTCTGCAAAACAGGACTTAGTACTTGGTGGCAAAACCCTTGTTGGCAATCACAGAGGTCAGACGTTTCTTGTAGTTGGCCACCAGGTTTGCAGACATCTCAGGAGGGATTTTGTCCCACTCCTCTTTGCAGATCTTCTCCAAGTCATTAAGGTTTCGAGGCTGACGTTTGGCAACTCGAACCTTCAGCTCCCTCCACAGATTTTCTATGGGATTAAGGTCTGGAGACTGGCTAGGCCACTCCAGGACCTTAATGTTCTTCTTCTTGAGACACTTCTTTGTTGCCTTGGCCGTGTGTTTGGGGTCATTGTCATGCTGGAATACCCATCCACGACCCATTTTCAATGCCCTGGCTGAGGGAAGGAGGTTCTCACCCAAGATTTGACGGTACATGGCCCCGTCCTTCATCCCTTTGATGGGGTGAAGTTGTCCTGTCCCCTTAGCAGAAAAACATCCCCAAAGCATAATGTTTTCACCTCCATGTTTGACGGTGGGGATGGTATTCTTGGGGTCATAGGCAGCATTCCTCCTCCTCCAAACACGGCGAGTATAGTTGATGCCAAAGAGCTCCATTTTGGTCTCATCTGACCACAACACTTTCACCCAGTTCTCCTCTGAATCATTCAGATGTTCATTGGCAAACTTTAGACAGGCCTGTATATGTGCTTTCTTGAGCAGGGGGACCTTGCGGGCGCTGCAGGATTTCAGTCCTTCACGGCGTAGTGTGTTACCAATTGTTTTCTTGGTGACTATGGTCCCAGCTGCCTTGAGGTCATTGACAATATCCTCCCGTGTAGTTCTGGGCTGGTTCCTCACCATTCTTATGATCATTGCAACTCCACAAGGTGAGATCTTGCATGGAGCCCCAGGCCGAGGGAGATTGACAGTTATTTTGTGTTTCTTCCATTTGCGAATAATCGCACCAACTGTTGTCACCTTCTCACCAAGCTGCTTGCCGATGGTCTTGTAGCCCATTCCAGCCTTGTGTAGGTCTACAATCCTGTCCCTGACATCCTTGGAGAGCTCTTTGGTCTTGGCCATGGTGGAGAGTTTGGAATCTGATTGATTGATTGCTTCTGTGGACAGGTGTCTTTTATACAGGTAACAAACTGAGATTAGGAGCACTCCCTTTAAGATTGTGCTCCTAATCTCAGCTCGTTACCTGTATAAAAGACACCTGGGAGCCAGAAATCTTTCTGATTGAGAGGGGGTCAAATAATTATTTCCCTCATTAAAATGCAAATCAATTTATAACATTTTTGACATGCATTTTTCTGGATTTTGTTGTTGTTATTCTGTCTCTCACTGTTCAAACCTACCATTAAAATTATAGACTGATCATTTCTTTGTCAGTGGGCAAACGTACAAAATCAGCAGGGGATCAAATCCTTTTTTCCCTCACTGTACAGTTGAAGTCGGAAGTTTACATACACCGTAGCCAAATACATTTAAACTCAGTTACTCATAAATCCTGACATTGAATCCTAGTAAAAATTCCCTGTCTTACGTCAGTTCGGATCACCACTTTATTTTAAGAATGTGAAATGTCAGAATAATAGTAGTGAGAATGATTTATTTCAGCTTTTATTTATTTCATCACATTCCCAATGGGTCAGAAGTTTACATACACTCAATTAGTATTTGGTAGCATTGCCTTTAAAATGTTTAACTTGGTTCAAATGTTTCAGGTAACCTTCCACAAGCTTCCCACAATAAGTTGGGTGAATTTTGGTCCATTCCTCCTGACAGAGCTGGTGTAACTGAGTCAGGTTTGTAGGCCTCCTTGCTCGCACACGCTTTTTCATTTCTGCCCACAAATTTTCTATAGGATTGAGGTCAGGGCTTTGTGATGGCCACTCCAATACCTTGACTTTGTTATCCTTAAGCCATTTTGCCACAACTTTGGAAGTATGCTTGGGGTCATTGTCCATTTGGAAGACCCATTTGCGACCAAGCTTTAACTTCCTGACTGATGTCTTGAGATGTTGCTTCAATATATCCACATAATTTTCCTTCCTCATGATGCCATCTATTTTGTGAAGTGCACCAGTCCCTCCTGCAGCAAAGCACCCCAACAGCATGATGCTGCCACCCCCGTGCTTCACGGTTGGGATGGTGTTCTTCGGCTTGCAAGCAACCCCCTTTTTCCACCAAACATAACGATGGTCATTATGGCCAAACAGTTCTATTTTTGTTTAATCAGACCAGAGGACATTTCTCCAAAAAGTACGATCTTTGTCCCCATGTGCAGTTGCAAACCGTAGTCTGGCTTTTTTATGGCGGTTTTGGAGCAGTTGCTTCTTCCTTGCTGAGCGGCCTTTCAGGTTATGTCGATATAGGACTCGTTTTACTCTGGATATAGATACTTTTGTACCTGTTTCCTCCAGCATCTTCACAAGGTCCTTTGCTGTTGTTCTGGGATTGATTTGCACTTTTCGCACCAAAGTACGTTCATCTCTAGGAGACAGAACGCGTTTCCTTCCTGAGCGGTATGACGGATGTGTGGTCCCACTGTGTTTATACTTGCGTACTATTGTTTGTACAGATGAACGTGGTACCTTCAGGCATTTGGAAATTGCTCCCAAGGATGAACCAGACTTGTGGAGGTCTACAATGTTTTTTCTGTGGTCTTGGCTGATTTCTTTTGATTTTCCCTTGATGTCAAGCAAAGAGGCACAAGTTTGAAGGTAGGCCTTGAAATACATCCACAGGTACACCTCCAATTGACTCAAATTATGTCAATTAGCCTATCAGAAGCTTCTAAAGCCATGACATCATTTTCTGGAATTTTCCAAGCTGTTTAAAGGCACAGTCAACTTAGTGTATGTAACCTTCTGACCCACTGGAATTGTGAATAAGTGAAATAATCAGTCTGTAAACAATTGTTGGAAAAATTACTTGTGTCATGCACAAAGTAGATGTCCTAAAAGTAGATGTCCTAACCGACATGCCAAAACTATAGTTTGTTAAAAATAAATTTGTGGAGTGGTTGAAAAACAAGTTTTAATGACTCCAACCTAAGTGTATGTAATCTTCCGACTTCAACTGTATGTAAATAATGTATTTCTGATTTTTATTTTTTATACAAAACTCTAAATCTGTCTGTAGTTAGGCTACATAAATATTTAATGAAGTCCCTCCCAGCACCCGGCCCCAACTCTAAACATCTTCCCCAGGTCTTCCTGCGGCTATGCCTAGGCTGTTTTGTAATAAGCCTATATGTGGATAACATTGGTTCAGGGTAGGCCTATCACAAAATCACAATATTTTATTTTAAGGAGAAAGCAAGTGCCATGATCTCAAAGATTTTAGTTTAAAATGCTCCAGAGTTGAGAATATTGGTTTATATAGAAACCAAAAGGCTAAACAGATAAACATATTTTTGATTTGTAGGAGGGTGAATTGCATTGAATTAAATTATGAATTACTAATGATTTGCCGCCCATAACGGCAGGGTACCACTAGTTACTAATAATCTATTAACCTCTAATTATGTGATTGGCTACCTGTGAATGGCTATCTGCAGGTGCTGACCGTTCCTCAAGCACTAGTTTCCCCGCTTCAGTGAGGTGAAAGGTAGGCTCCTCAGTAAACAATTTGGAAGTCTGTGAAAAGAAGATGGAATAGGGTAAAGCCATCAAATTAAGGAAATTCTCCCTATAAGATCAGATGAGCTTTGGTTAATAATGTGAATGGTTACCTGTGTGTTTAACACTGCCAACTCTCTCACCAGAATTCTCCCAGCACGGGTGAGATAGTAGACTGGTTTGGGCTTGGAGGTGATGGGCTATGAAAAAGAGAGAATAAGTTTACAGACATTTTCGTTATGTGGTTTTTCAGAAGACTAGTCACTTGATGTTAATGTTAATATCATCTTAAGACCAGAGTATCAGAATGGATAGACTTACAGAGACAGGAACACACAAGGGTCCAGACCAAGGGATTAAAGCCAGACAGGGCCGCTGCCGAACCTCCTCATCCACATACTAAGGAACAAGACAGGATCAATTTAAGAGTCAGTTTGAATGATACACTGGTATAGAAGTGACAGACTGGTATAGGGAGGATCGTAAGAGGAGGCCACTGCAATGATAGTGTTATTGAACCAATCCTGATAATGAAGCAGTATTGTTATAGCCTGGGTGCCAGTAAAATCAAATCAAATCCAAATCAAATTGTATTGGTCACATACACATGTTTAGCAGATGTTATTGAGGGTGTAGCGAAATGCTTGTGCTTCTATCTCCGAAAGTGCAGTAATATCTAACAAGTAATATCTTACAATTTCACAACATATACCCAATACACACAAATCTAAGTAAGGAATTAAGAATAAATACATATATGGACGAGCAATGTCAGAGAGGCATGGACTAAGATACAGTAGAATAGTATAGAATACAGTATATACATATTAGATGAGTAATGCAAGATATGTAAACATGATTAAAGTGACTAAGATACCATAGAATAGTATAGAATACAGTATATACATATGAGATGAGTAATGCAAGATACGTAAACATTATTAAAGTGGCTAGTGTTTCATTTCTTAAAGTGGCCAGTGATTTCTACTCTATGTCTATAGGCAGCAGCCTCTATTATGCAGTCTGTTTCAGCTCTCTGACAACTCCTTATGCGATTGTCATGCCAATATCATTTTCCCACGAGGGAATTGGCAAGAGAGCAGAAACAGACTGGCACCCAGGCTATTGATAATGATGTATTATTCTTACCAGAGATAGAGGACATGTTAATGTGTACTATCTATACAACACATCTCCTCCAACAATTTTGCGCCGATTTACTTCATTTTCGGCTCAAAAGAAGCGTGATGTCCTCTTACATGCCACTGGCAATTTTATATTCTGCTGTGTTTTGTATTTTCGTTTATATTCCTGTTTTATGTGTTTGGAATGACACGGTTACTACAGGAGATTTACTTGGCTCATCGCGCTCTAGCGACTCCTTGTGGCGGGCCGGGCGCCTGCAGGCTGACTTCGGTTGTAAGTTGAACAGTGTTTCCTCCGACACATTGGTGCGGCTGACTTCCGTGTTAAGGAGCACATTTTGGCGGGTCATGTTTCAGACTACGCATGACTCGAACTTCGCCTCTCCCGAGCCCGTTGCAGCAATGAGACAAGATTGTAATTGGATCGCAGTTGGATAACATGAAAAAAGGGGTAAAATAAAAAATATACAGCGCCTTCGGGAAGTTTTCAGACACCTTGACTTTTTCCACATTTTGTTAGGTTACAGCCTTATTCTAAAATTGATTAAATTGTTTTTCCCCTCATCAATCTACACACAATACCCCATAATGACAAATCAAAAACAGGTTTTTAGAAATTTCTGCTAATTTATTTAAAAACATTTAACTGAAATACCACATTTACATAAGTATTCAGACCCGTAACTCAGTACTTTGTTGAAGCACCTTTGGCAGCGATTACAGCCTCGAATCTTCTTGGGTATGACGCTACAAGCTTGGCACACCTGTATTTGGAGAGTATTTCCCATTCTTCTCTGCAGATCCTCTCAAGCTCTGTCAGGTTGGATGGGGAGCGTTGTGGCACAGCTATTTTCAGGTCTCTCTAGCGATGTTCGATCAGGTTCAAGTCCGGGCTCTGGCTGGGCCAATCAAGGACATTCAGAGACTTGTCCCGAAGCCACTCCTGCGTTGTCTTGGCTGTGTGCTTAGGGTCATTGTCCTCTTGGAAGGTGAACCTTGGCCCCAGTCTGAGGTCCTGAGCGCTCTGGAGCAGGTTTTCATTAAGGATCTCTCTGTACTTTGCTCAATTCATCTTTGCCTCGATCCTGACTAGTCTCCCAGTCCCTGTCGCTGAAAAACATCCCAACAGCATGATGCTGCCACCACCATGCTTCACTATAGGGATGGTGCCAGGTTTCCTCCAGACGTGACGCTTGGCATTCAGGCCAAAAAGTTCAAGCCTGGTTTCATCAGAGCAGAGAATCGTGTTTCTCATGGTCTGAGAGTCTTTAAGTGCCTTTTGGCAAACTGCAAGCGGGCTGTCATGTGCCTTTTACTGAGGAGTGGCTTCCGTCTGGCCACTCTACAATAAAGGCCTGATTGGTGGAGTGCTGCAGAGGTGGTTGTCCTTCTGGAAGGTTCTCCCATCTCCACAGAGGAACTCTAGAGCTAGAGTGACCATCGGGTTTGTAATCACCTCCCTGACCAAGGCCCTTCTCCCCCAATTGCTCAGTTTGGCCGGGCGGCCAGTTCTAGGAAGAGTCTGGGTGGTTCCAAACTTCTTCCATTTAACAATAATGGAGGCCACTATGTTCTTGGGGACCTTCAATGCTGCAGAAATGTTTTGGTACCCTTCCCCAGATCTGTACCTAGACACAATCCTGTCGCTGAGCTCTACGAACAATTCCTTCGACCTCATAGCTTGGTTTTTGCTCTGACATGCACTGTCAACTGTAGTACCGTATATAGGCAGGTGTGTGCCTTTCCAAATCATGTCCAATCAATTGAATTTACCACAGGTGGACTCCAATCAAGTTGTAAAAACATCTCAAGGATGATCAATGGAAACAGGATGCACCTGAGGTCAATTTCGAGTCTCATAGCAAAGGGTCTGAATACTTACAGTGAGGGAAAAAAGTATTTGATCCCCTGCTGATTTTGTACGTTTGCCCACTGACAAAGACATGATCAGTCTATAATTTTAATGGTAGGTTTGAACAGTGAGAGGCAGAATAACAACAACAAAATCAAGAAAAATGCATGTCAAAAATGTTATAAATTGATTTGCATTTTAATGAGGGAAATAAATATTTGACCCCTCTGCAAAACAGGACTTAGTACTTGGTGGCAAAACCCTTGTTGGCAATCACAGAGGTCAGACGTTTCTTGTAGTTGGCCACCAGGTTTGCAGACATCTCAGGAGGGATTTTGTCCCACTCCTCTTTGCAGATCTTCTCCAAGTCATTAAGGTTTCGAGGCTGACGTTTGGCAACTCGAACCTTCAGCTCCCTCCACAGATTTTCTATGGGATTAAGGTCTGGAGACTGGCTAGGCCACTCCAGGACCTTAATGTTCTTCTTCTTGAGCCACTTCTTTGTTGCCTTGGCCGTGTGTTTGGGGTCATTGTCATGCTGGAATACCCATCCACGACCCATTTTCAATGCCCTGGCTGAGGGAAGGAGGTTCTCACCCAAGATTTGACGGTACATGGCCCCGTCCTTCATCCCTTTGATGCGGTGAAGTTGTCCTGTCCCCTTAGCAGAAAAACACCCCCAAAGCATAATGTTTTCACCTCCATGTTTGACGGTGGTGATGGTATTCTTGGGGTCATAGGCAGCATTCCTCCTCCTCCAAACACAGCGAGTTTAGTTGATGCCAAAGAGCTCCATTTTGGTCTCATCTGACCACAACACTTTCACCCAGTTCTCCTCTGAATCATTCAGATGTTCATTGGCAAACTTTAGACAGGCCTGTATATGTGCTTTCTTGAGCAGGGGGACCTTGCGGGCGCTGCAGGATTTCAGTCCTTCACGGCGTAGTGTGTTACCAATTGTTTTCTTGGTGACTATGGTCCCAGCTGCCTTGAGGTCATTGACAATATCCTCCCGTGTAGTTCTGGGCTGATTCCTCACCATTCTTATGATCATTGCAACTCCACAAGGTGAGATCTTGCATGGAGCCCCAGGCCGAGGGAGATTGACAGTTATTTTGTGTTTCTTCCATTTGCGAATAATCGCACCAACTGTTGTCACCTTCTCACCAAGCTGCTTGCCGATGGTCTTGTAGCCCATTCCAGCCTTGTGTAGGTCTACAATCTTGTCCCTGACATCCTTGGAGAGCTCTTTGGTCTTGGCCATGGTGGAGAGTTTGGAATCTGATTGATTGATTGCTTCTGTGGACAGGTGTCTTTTATACAGGTAACAAACTGAGATTAGGAGCACTCCCTTTAAGATTGTGCTCCTAATCTCAGCTCGTTACCTGTATAAAAGACACCTGGGAGCCAGAAATCTTTCTGATTGAGAGGGGGTCAAATAATTATTTCCCTCATTAAAATGCAAATCAATTTATAACATTTTTGACATGCATTTTCCTGGATTTTGTTGTTGTTATTCTGTCTCTCACTGTTCAAATCTACCATTAAAATTATAGACTGATCATTTCTTTGTCAGTGGGCAAACATACAAAATCAGCAGGGGATCAAATCCTTTTTTCCCTCACTGTACAGTTGAAGTCGGAAGTTTACATACACCGTAGCCAAATACATTTAAACTCAGTTACTCATAAATCCTGACATTGAATCCTAGTAAAAATTCCCTGTCTTACGTCAGTTAGGATCACCACTTTATTTTAAGAAAGTGAAATGTCAGAATAATAGTAGTGAGAATGATTTATTTCAGCTTTTATTTCTTTCATCACATTCCCAATGGGTCAGAAGTTTACATACACTCAATTAGTATTTGGTAGCATTGCCTTTAAAATGTTTAACTTGGTTCAAACGTTTCAGGTAACCTTCCACAAGCTTCCCACAATAAGTTGGGTGAATTTTGGTCCATTCCTCCTGACAGAGCTGGTGTAACTGAGTCAGGTTTGTAGGCCTCCTTGCTCGCACACGCTTTTTCATTTCTGCCCACAAATTTTCTATAGGATTGAGGTCAGGGCTTTGTGATGGCCACTCCAATACCTTGACTTTGTTATCCTTAAGCCATTTTGCCACAACTTTGGAAGTATGCTTGGGGTCATTGTCCATTTGGAAGACCCATTTGCGACCAAGCTTTAACTTCCTGACTGATGTCTTCAGATGTTGCTTCAATATATCCACATAATTTTCCTTCCTCATGATGCCATCTATTTTGTGAAGTGCACCAGTCCCTCCTGCAGCAAAGCACCCCAACAGCATGATGCTGCCACCCCCATGCTTCACGGTTGGGATGGTGTTCTTCGGCTTGCAAGCAACCCCCTTTTTCCACCAAACATAACAATGGTCATTATGGCCAAACAGTTCTATTTTTGTTTAATCAGACCAGAGGACATTTCTCCAAAAAGTACGATCTTTGTCCCCATGTGCAGTTGCAAACCGTAGTCTGGCTTTTTTATGGCGGTTTTGGAGCAGTTGCTTCTTCCTTGCTGAGCGGCCTTTCAGGTTATGTCGATATAGGACTCGTTTTACTCTGGATATAGATACTTTTGTACCTGTTTCCTCCAGCATCTTCACAAGGTCCTTTTCTGTTGTTCTGGGATTGATTTGCACTTTTCGCACCAAAGTACGTTCATCTCTAGGAGACAGAACGCGTTTCCTTCCTGAGCGGTATGACGGCTGTGTGGTCCCACTGTGTTTATACTTGCGTACTATTGTTTGTACAGATGAACGTGGTACCTTCAGGCATTTGGAAATTGCTCCCAAGGATGAACCAGACTTGTGGAGGTCTACAATGTTTTTTCTGAGGTCTTGGCTGATTTCTTTTGATTTTCCCTTGATGTCAAGCAAAGAGGCACAAGTTTGAAGGTAGGCCTTGAAATACATCCACAGGTACACCTCCAATTGACTCAAAATATGTCAATTAGCCTACCAGAAGCTTCTAAAGCCATGACATCATTTTCTGGAATTTTCCAAGCTGTTTAAAGGCACAGTCAACTTAGTGTATGTAACCTTCTGACCCACTGGAATTGTGAATAAGTGAAATAATCAGTCTGTAAACAATTGTTGGAAAAATTACTTGTGTCATGCACAAAGTAGATGTCCTAACCGACATGCCAAAACTATAGTTTGTTAAAAATAAATTTGTGGAATGGTTGAAAAACAAGTTTTAATGACTCCAACCTAAGTGTATGTAATCTTCCGACTTCAACTGTATGTAAATAATGTATTTCTGATTTTTATTTTTTATACAAAACTCTAATCTGTCTGTAGTTAGGCTACATAAATATTTAATGAAGTCCCTCCCAGCACCCGGCCCCAACTCTAAACATCTTCCCCAGGTCTTCCTGCGGCTATGCCTAGGCTGTTTTTTAATAAGCCTATATGTGGATAACATTGGTTCAGGGTAGGCCTATCACAAAATCACAATATTTTATTTTAAGGAGAAAGCAAGTGCCATGATCTCAAAGATTTTAGTTTAAAATGCTCCAGAGTTGAGAATATTGGTTTATATAGAAACCAAAAGGCTAAACAGATAAACATATTTTTGATTTGTAGGAGGGTGAATTGCATTGAATTAAATTATGAATTACTAATGATTTGCCGCCCATAACGGCAGGGTACCACTAGTTACTAATAATCTATTAACCTCTAATTATGTGATTGGCTACCTGTGAATGGCTATCTGCAGGTGCTGACCGTTCCTCAAGCACTAGTTTCCCCGCTTCAGTGAGGTGAAAGGTAGGCTCCTCAGTAAACAATTTGGAAGTCTGTGAAAAGAAGAGGGAATAGGGTAAAGCCATCAAATTAAGGAAATTCTCCCTATAAGATCAGATGAGCTTTGGTTAATAATGTGAATGGTTACCTGTGTGTTTAACACTGCCAACTCTCTCACCAGAATTCTCCCAGCACGGGTGAGATAGTAGACTGGTTTGGGCTTGGAGGTGATGGGCTATGAAAAAGAGAGAATAAGTTTACAGACATTTTCGTTATGTGGTTTTTCAGAAGACTAGTCACTTGATGTTAATGTTAATATCATCTTAAGACCAGAGTATCAGAATGGATAGACTTACAGAGACAGGAACACACAAGGGTCCAGACCAAGGGATTAAAGCCAGACAGGGCCGCTGCCGAACCTCCTCATCCACATACTAAGGAACAAGACAGGATCAATTTAAGTCTTCGAATGTCAGATTGTTATTGAACCAATCCTGCTAATGAAGCAGTATTATTATAGCCTGGGTGCCAGTCTGTTTCAGTTCTCTGCCAACTCCTTATAGGATTGTCATGCCAATATCACATTGCCAGATGGAATTGGCAAGAGCAGAAACAGACTGGCACCCAGGCTATTGATAGGATTATTCTTACCTGAACAAGGACTGGGTCCTCCTCTTCCAGGATGGGCTCATGATCTTTATGAAAAAAACAATTTCAGGGATTATTTTCTCTAAATTTAACAGGTTTCAAAGTCTCGTGTTTGTTTGTTGTTATTGATAGGGGAATTCCATAGCATTTGGGCTACACTGTAAAAACAATTTAACATTTCCTCTGGGCTTGCTAGGCATCATAAATTCTACATCCCGAATGGTACCCTATTCCCTATGTAGTGCACTACTTTTGACTAATGCCAGATAGTACACTACTTTTGAACAAATGGCACCATATTCCCTAATTAATGCACTGGGCTACTTTTGACCGAAGACCCTGGTCAAAAGTAGTGTAGTAGGGAATATGGTGTCATTTGGGACGAACACTTGACATAGGATTATTCCTGATATAATATGTAATATTGCTGTCTGGACATTGTAAACTCGGTAAACGTACCGTCCTCAACAGTGACATGGTCCATGCTTCCCAAGGTGGCCTGTGTATCCTCACCGAAGCCGTAATACTTCCTATACAAGTAGACCGCTGAACCTGTCGCAAGCATTAGGCCAGCTGCAGACAGAAGCCGCCGCTCGCGGATCAATCTCAGCGGGCTAGCTGTCAAAAAACTACCGAATGTAAGCCTACTCATTATAGCCATTTGTCACCTGACTGCAGTGATTTTGACCGAGTTCAAAACAATCTGACACTTATTTCTTATATTTACAGTGTTTTATAGGGAATCCTAAATACGACAAATTCTTTCATACGTCATGGTTGGCAATGTCACAATGGATGAAGGTTTACCAAACAGATTTTTTTTTTTTTAACTCAACAGTGACGTCAATTAAATTGTATTTCGGTGTGATCTGGGAGTTTATAAAATTGTGAACAATGAACCATGGTTGAGGGAACAGTATCCTAAGAGCCATAAATGTATTTGTGTAACAATCTACCCAAATTCTCTTAAATTGGATGTTTAGGTGCCTTTAGACATAAGGCAATTCAGAAAGCTGATTGAGGACCTTATTACTGATTAATGTGTCTGTTTTTTATGACTGTGTCCATGTTTTCTTTCTGCGTGCATTTTGATGTTTGTATTTCTGTAATTTCTGTAGTTCATGGCTCATCTGTATGTAAAATAGATTTTGGCCTCTGTATGACTCCCAGATGACATAAAAGTTGATACATCTAGGGCTCCGAATCAATAAAGATATTTAACTTTACCCAGAGGCCAAATCTGAAGGGACTCGTACAGAAAACATACACATTGCATCACATACATAGTTATATATGAACTGAATCAATCAATGTGCAAGTTTATCAATAAGTCACAAGATCAGAAACCCGGTCATCTGAAGGCGCTTGATGTCTGTATCATACAGTTTTTATAAGACTAAAGGACATTAGGTAACACTACTTATCACAAGGCATGAAAGCTACAGTTGAAGTCGGAAGTTTACAAAACTCATTTTTCAACCACTCCACGCATTTCTTGTTAACAAACTATAGTTTTGGCAAGTAGGTTAGGACATTTACTTTGTGCATGACACAAGTAATTTTTCCAACAATTGTTTACAGACAGATTATTTCTCTTATAATTCACCGTATCACAATTCCAATGGGTCAGAAGTTTACATACACTAAGTTGACAGTGCCTTTAAACAGCTTGGAAAATTCCAGAAAATGATGTCATGGCTTTAGAAGCTTCTGATAGGCTAATTGACATCATTTGAGTCAATTGGAGGTGTACCTGTGGATGTATTTCAAGGCCTACCTTCAAACTCAGTGCCGCTTTGCTTGACATCATGGGAAAATCAAAATAAATCAGCCAAGACCTCAGAAAATAAATTATAGTCCTCCACAAGTCTGGTTCATCCTTGGGAGCAATTTCCAAATGCCTGAAGGTACCACGTTCATCTGTACAAACAATAGTACGCAAGTATAAACACCATGGGACGATGCAGCCGTCATACCTCTCAGGAAGGAGACGCGTTCTGTCTCCTAGAGATGAACGTACTTTGGTGCGAAAAGGGCAAATCAATCCCAGAACAACAGCAAAGGACCTTGTGAAGATGCTGGAGGAAACAGCAAATAAATCATTCTCTCTACTATTATTCTGACATTTCACATTCTTAAAATAAAGTGGTGATCCTAACTGACCTAAGACAGGGAATATTTACTAGGATTAAATGTCAGGAATTGTGAAAAACTGAGTTCAAATGTATTTGGCTAAGGTGTATGTAAACTTCTGACTTCAACTGTGAAATGTCTGAAGTAAAATATAAAGTGATTTTCTAGGAAATATAAAAACGAGCTAATTCAAGGTGCTATTAGAAGCAACATTGAGTCACATTAAATCCCTCACAGTCTCCTTGTGTGCGATCTGAACATGTTCAAATCAATTTAAACTTAATGTGCAGACAAAAGGGGAATGAGCAATGCCAAAGAGGAACACAATTATTTTCTCCTCTTCATTATCAAATGATGCTATTTTCTGTGCTGTAGCCCCTTTGGGAGAACATTTACATGCAGCCTAAGAGCCATGGAGGGAATTAAGCCTTTAACTCCTTCACGGGGGATTAGTTTAATTAAGATTTTGAAGTGAGGGTGAAATAGCGAAAAAAAATTATGTGGAGTTCTATAGAGTTACGGAGGAGCTCTGCAAACCAACATTCAATGGAGGTCCTGGAGAAAACACCCTTTGGATTTACTTTTTTTGAAGTGTCTTTCTTGCTAATGTGGTCCGTGACATGGTGACATTAGCCATCACTTGTTTTGCCACTTACTGCTTCTCTCATACATCTTTACAGTGTACGTTTATGGAATAGGCCTATTTATTCTTTAGGTCCCAGGCATTCTTTTTTTTGTATCCCATGTCTACCACCAACAGAGTAGTAAGCCTACAGGGGGACGCTGGAACTCTAAAACTACAACTGGGTATCTACCTACTCCACTAATCTGCTTCTCAAAAATAAGGACCTTGATCCATTGGTAGGGTCATGGGTTATTGCATTATTCACCATCTAGCTGTGTGTATGCATACTTTATGCTGATGGATTTCACATCCTTTTAAAGGAAAACACCAACCAAAAACTAACTTTTGGTATTTGTTTCATTAGTCCATTGTTGATTTAGTCCCAAAATGTTTAGCATGTCAGCGATTCAGTTTTCTATATATGTATACAGTGGCTTGCGAAAGTATTCACCCCCCTTGGTATTTTTCCTATTTTGTTGCCTTACAACCTGGAATGAAAATTGATTTTTTGGGGGTTTGTATCATTTGATTTACACAACATGCCTACCACTTTGAAGATGCAAAATATTTTTTATTGTGAAACAAACAAGAAATAAGACACAAAAACAGAAAACTTGAGCGTGCATAACTATTCATTTTTCGTTAAGCAATGGCTTTTTTCTGGCCTGTGGAGTGTATGGCTTAAAGTGGTCCTATGGACAGATACTCCAATCTCCGCTGTGGAGCTTTACAGCTCCTTCAGGGTTATCTTTGGTCTCTTTGTTTCCTCTCTGATTAATGCCCTCCTTCCCTGGTCCTTGAGTTTTGGTGGGCGGCCCTCTCTTGGCAGGTTTGTTGTGGTGACATATTCTTTCCATTTTTTAATAATGGATTTAATGGTGCTCCGTGGGATGTTCAAAGTTTTGGATATTTTTTTATAACCCAACCCTGATCTGTACTTCTCCACAACTTTGTCCCTGACCTGTTTGGAGAGCTCCTTGGTCTTCATGGTGCCGCTTGCATGGTGGTGCCCCTTTCTTAGTGGTGTTGCAGACTATGGGGCCTTTCAGAACAGGTGTATATATACTGAGATCATGTGACACATAGATTGCACACAGGTGGACTTTATTTAACTAATTATGTGACTTCTGAAGGTAATTGGTTGCACCAGATCTTATTTAGGGGCTTCATAGCAAAGGGGGTGAATACATATGCACGAACCACTTTTCTGTTATTTATTTTTTAGAATTTTTTGAAACAAGTTATATTTTTCATTTCACTTCACCAATTTGGACTATTTTGTGTATCTCCATTACATGAAATCCAAATAAAAATCCATTTAAATGACAGGTTGTAATGCAACAAAATAGGAAAAACGCCAAGGGGGACGAATACTTTTGCAAGGCACTGTATATATATTGATTATTCAATTGATTGGACATGATTTGGAAAGGCACATACTTGTCTATATAAGGTCCCACAGTTGACAGTGCATGTCAGAGCAAAAACCAAGCCATGAGGTCGAAGGAATTGTCCGTAGAGTGCCGAGACAGGATTGTGTCGAGGCACAGATCTGGGGAAGGGTACCAAAAAGAAGGATCTTGGACAGGGAGGTGACCAAGAACCCGATGGTCACTCTGACAGAGCTCTAGAGTTCCTCTGTGGAGATGGGAGAACCTTCCAGAAGGACAACCATCTCTGCAGCACTCAAATCAGGCCTTTATGGTAGAGTGGCCAGACACTCCTCAGTAAAAGGCACATGACAGCCCGCTTGGAGTTTGCCAAAAGGCACCTAAAGACTCTCAGACCATGAGAAACAAGATTATCTGGTCTGATGAAACCAAGATTCAACTCTTTGCCAAGCGTCACGTCTAAAGGAAACCTGGCACCATCCCTACGGTGAAGCATGGTGGTGGCAGAATCATGAAGCAAAGATGAACGGAGCAAAGTACAGAGAGATCCTTGATGAAAACCTGCTCCAGAGCTCTCAGGACCTCAGACTGGGGGCGAAGGTTCACCTTCCAACAGGACAACGACCCTAAACACATAGCCAAGACAACGCAGGAGTGGTTTCGGGACAATTCTCTAAATGTCCTTGAGTGGCCCAGCCAGAGCCCAGACTTAAGCCTGATTGAACATCTCTGGAGAGACCTGAAAATAGCTGTGCAGCGATGCTCCCCATCCAACCTGACAGAGCTTGAGAGGATCTGCAGAGAAGAATGGGAGAAACTCCCCAAATACAGGTGTGCCAGGCTTGTGGAGTTTATACCCAAGAAGACTCGAGGCTGTAATCGCTGCCAAAGGTGCTTCAACAAAGTTCTGAGAAAACTGTATAAATACTTACAGTTGAAGTCGGAAGTTTACATACACCTTCATACACATTCCTGACATTTAATCCTAGTAAAAATTCCATGTCTTAGGTCAGTTCGGATCACCACTTTATTTTAAGATTTTGGCCCATTCCTCCTGACAGAGCTGGTGTAACTGAGTCAGGATTGTAGGCCTCCTTGCTCGCACACGCTTTTTCATTTCTGCCCACAAATTTTCTGTAGGATTGAGGTCAGGGCTTTGTGATGGCCACTCCAATACCTTGACTTTGTTATCCTTAAGCCATTTTGCCACAACTTTGGAAGTATGCTTGGGGTCATTGTCCATTTGGAAGACCCATTTGCGACCAAGCTTTAACTTCCTGACTGATGTCTTGAGATGTTGCTTCAATATATCCACATAATTTTCCTTCCTCATGATGCCATCTATTTTGTGAAGTGCACCAGTCCCTCCTGCAGCAAAGCACCCCCACAGCATGATGCTGCCACCCCCGTGCCTCACGGTTGGGATGGTGTTCTTCGGCTTGCAAGTTCCTCCTTTTTCCTCCAAACAT